TATATTTTTTTACACCATCAGAAAGTAGAGATTTCAACGAAGAAAAAGCCCACCGACGTTTTTAAAAAAGCAGATATTTTGACGTGAGAATTTTCGATTGAAAATTAGGGTGCTTTTTCGATATTAAGTAAAAATAAGGTGAAAAAATAAATATTTCAAATCAAAAAAATTACAGCGTGTTTGGGACATAAATAGGTAAGTTTTCACCAAATTTCGTGAAAAAAAAATTTGTAAAAGATAAAAATAAAAAACCAAAAACTTGGTTATTTGAATTTTTCACATAAATTTTGAGGTTATGTGAAAAAAGTGTAAATTCAAAAGTTGTAGATCTTTTTATTACCTACAACTTTGCCATTTAACTTTTTTCCATAAGACTTGTAGTTTTTCCGGAAATCAAGATAAATCGTTTTTTACCCTTAAAAACTCACCCCCTTCCCCTTCCCGACCTCAGATCGCCCGTAAATTATTTTTATTTTCATTTCTGCTATATTCTCTTCCTTTTCCAATGGGTTTCATCCTACTATAATTTTTTTTCATTTTTTACAATTTTTGAAGGCTTGCTCTGGTCTAACATTTATAATTCACTTCGAACATTGCGATCCCTTCACATTCACATTTGTAGCTCTTACATGCGTCCATTTTTTGACTATATTTTGCATGAAGGGTGGTAATCCACACATGCAAACGTTTATTGTGCTTTAACTAAGGTCTCCTCAAACAATCTTTATGTTTGGTTGTGCATTTAAGAAGGTCCTTCGTGCTTCAGAACGTGATATTTAATACCACTCTTGTATTTAGTTTCCTAATCGCAGTCGCTAGAATCTTTATGTTGCAGTTGGTGCTTTTTGATATTCTCCCTGTATTTAGTTTCGAAATCGCAGTTGTTACACTTGTACATTTCAACTTGCGAAGGATCTTTATGTTTTAGTTGGTGCTGTTTGATATGACTTTTAAATTTAGTTTCGTAATCGCAGTCGTTACACTTATACATTTGAACCTCTGAAGGATTTTTATGTGTCAGTTCGTGCTGTTTGATATAGTTCCTGTATTTAGTTTCGAAATCGCAGTGGTTACACCTATAAGTCTGGACCTCAGATGGATCTTTATGTTTCTGTTGGTGCTGTTTGATAACATTCTTGTACTTAGTTTCGTAATCGCAGTCGTTACACCTGTACATTTGAACCTGCGAAGGATCTTTATGTTTAAGTTGGTGCCTTTTGATATTACCCTTTAATTTAGTTTCATAATCGCAGTTGGTACATTTGTATATTTTAACCTCAGAAGGATCTTTATGTTTCAGTTGATGTTTTTTGATATTCTCTCTGTATTTAGTTAGGAAGTCGCAGTTGTTACACCTGTACATTTGAACTTGAAAAGGATCTTTATGTGTCAGTTGATGTGACTTGATATGAGTCTTGTATTTAGTTTCATAATCGCAGTTGTTACACTTGTACATTTGAACCTGCGAAGGATCTTTATGTGTCAGTTGATGTACTTTGATAACATTCTTGTATTTAGATGTGTAATCGCAGTCGTTACACCTGTACATTTGAACCTGCGAAGGATCTTTATGTGTCAGTTGATGCAGTTTAATAACATTCTTGTATTTAGTTTTATAATCGCAGTCACTACACTTGTACATTTGAATCTGCGTAGGATCTTTATGTGTCAGTTGATGCTGTTTGATATACTTCCTATATCTGCTTTCATAATCGTAGTCATTACACCTGTAAATTTTGACCGGTGAGGTGTCTTTATGTCTCAACCGGCTTTGAAGTAATTTCTTATTCTCAGTTTCATACTCGTGTCTTTCAGTTTCGCAAATATGTTTATCACATTTGTACAATACCATGCACTTCCCCTTGGTTTTCGTTTTACATTTGCTTTCCCATCCATTTTCATTTTTACATCCATCCTCTTCCGCATCTTTACAATCACTCTTCTCAGATGGTTCACTATTGGAGGTCTGCAGTGGCACATCACTGAAAAATTGCATACAGAATTCCATTTAAATCAAACAAAATATTTTACTGCATATGAACCAATATTTTTTGCCAACTTTGATGCTGTTTAGTGGCAAAACAAAGCAACTTGGCACACAGAATAACAGAACAATACGTGTTATCCGTGTGCATTTGAAAAAAGGGGAAAAAGGTTAAAATTCGGGTGTGGCACAAGCTTACCAGATTTTCGTGGTTAGATGAGCTGAGCCGGCCCACACTGGGATTTTTTGGTATATTTATAGACAAAATTCTTGTTACAAAAGAATTTTCATCCAATCGTAACAGTTTTTTTTTTTAATACTAATAAACATCAGTACTTTAAGAAGGAATTGCGGAAATTTCGATATTCTTAAGACCTAAATTATCGCAAGTCCATTTATGTCTAATCACGCAATTCACGTATTTGAACTCTGAGCATATTTTTGAACAAAAAGCTCTAGAGTCCAAGATTATTAAAAATATACGTTTACAACAGACCGACAAAAATTCAAAAATCCTACAATCCGGAAACCAGACAAAACTTTTACGAAAGTTTTTGGTGCGAATCCGAATACCACGTCATAATTGTTTCGTCATCTCAGAATTTGAGAAATCCTCAGCTAAAAGGATGAAATATTTTTCGATAACTTTGACATACATCTTAAATTACTTAATTATCCTAAAATCTTATATACTCAAGCCCGTCAAAACCCATTTGAATTTGTTTAATATATTTTCAACTTAGAGATATCGTCGATATCAAAAATCCCTTAAACCCATTATTAAATCCTAACAGAAGTAGATATTTATAAAACTATCATAATTTAGGGTGGCTTCAGAATATCGAAATTTACACAATTCAAGCTTAAAGTACAGATGTTTGAGTATTTAAAAAAAAAATTGCTACGATTACATGAAAATTGTGGATTCTAGGGCTCTTTGTCCAAAAAGATGCGTAGAGTTGAAATACGTGAATTGCGTGATTAGGCATAAAATGACTTGCTATAATTTAGTTCTTAAGAATATCGAAAATTCCGCAATTCCTGCTTAAAGTACATGTGTTTACGAGTATTTTAAAGAATTTTATCCATAAATATACCAAAAAATCCCACTGTGCGGCCTCTTCATACAATATAGAATAATTCCCGTTAGAGAAATGGAAAGTTCACAAGTACTTAATGTGATTTTTAGATCTGAATACAAAACCGACGACTCACAACAATTAGCCAAGAAAATCAGGGCATTTTTGACTGATGAACTTAAAAACTTTCTCCTATTACATTTATTAAAAATGAAAATAAAACATTGCATTTTTTTAATTTTGATTTTAAAGAGTTCTTTAGTGAAAACTGATAAATTATCCTTTATACCCATATGCAACCTAAAGCCATGCTGATTATTGTGTCAAGATCTTAAACTTTATCCAAGTAATTTATTAACCAAGCTTTTGATTGGACAAAAATATTTGTAACATTATTTATAACCAATGTAAGTATATAACTTCTTACAATTTGTATATACCCAGTCTTATAATTTGGTAACAAGCTAATAATATGAATTAAAAATTTAGCGATATATTTACGTACTCATTTCATTCGACCAAGCCATGCCATTTTTGAAATTAATGCTAAAATAGTCTTCCCTTACCTTCTTTCCTCATCTTCAGATTTTATGTCGACACATTCAGTTTTTATTGACATTTCCATCTCGCTAATATCCAATTCTTTGTCCAAGTCTTCAGTTTTAATGAATAAATCCCATGGTGATGTATTTATTCGACTTTCTGTGGCTGAATTATCATAAACATCTCTAATTTTTGCCTCTACTTCTAAGCATTCTCTAAGGAAACTGTTGTGGGTACACAGGGAATCAAAACATTCTTTACATATAACGGGATCTTTGATGATATTTATATTCTGCAAATTTGTTTCATTAAATTGCGCATAATATAAATATTTAATATTGTTCAAACCATTTCAGGAGTCAATTTCTGAATAGCTTCGAGTTCCTCTTCACGTATGCACATAAACTCACTTTTTACCAAGTTCATACACAATCGACATATTTTGGCACTATCTGAAATTGACTCGCTTCCCTTTTCCTTCCTGTACACTTCCCGTATGTCGAACTGTAACATTTTTTCGCAATCCACATGTGAAATAATTGTGTTATCGGTATTCAGGCAGGTCGACTTGAATTCGAATGCCGCATATAACTTTCTTCTGCAAACATTACATATAACCTCTTTGCTCTCATCATCGAATTTCTGAAATGTACACATTAACCAAACTGAAAGAGAATATCTTTGGCAGAAATTAACAATTAATGCCAATTCCTTACACACTTATCTAATATCTTCACTGACTTACCAGTTTCAGCAAAAGAGCATCGACAATATCTCTAATAACGTCTTCTATTAGTTCAAAGCTCTTAACGATAACAGTTTTAAGACAAAGCCTACAGGAAATTTCTTGAACACCAGTCATTACAATTTACTTTGAAGTGTAAATATACACCCGTACCTTGTGTTTGTTGTTTAACCTCAATTAAATCATTGGCATTGGATGGAAGGCAGTGTTCCCAACATGGAGTGAAGTAAATATCCTATCCACAGCGTAAAATTATCGTAAATGGACTAAAATGACCCTACATATCAAAATAATGTCAATAATGGATAAATAAATCATATTAAACATAATATTGATATTTAAAGTAAATTTCCTAGAAAGAATGCAACGTATGGATGTTAGATAAAATGCTTCCCGGATGAAGTGATTGGCAAATCAAATGGCACATGAGTCGGCAAAACAGCACTCGTTACCTAAGGAATGAATGAACCAATAGGTGGCGATGTTGGCAAGAGAGAGAGAAAAAGTTCATTGCGGTATTGGTTATCAGGGAAAAAATAAAATGAATTTGCATCATAATGGAAATTATGCTACAATATGCGTGTGCTATAGTACATGGTACGTCTGCACGATAATTATCGTACGGTTGCGAACATTGATGGAGTTAATGTTCTTCTTCCTCTTCTATTCTCTGACGAACTAGCATAATAAATTCTAGTGTTTAACTCTTGAACGCAGATTGAGTTCCTAGCGGGCAGCCGACCAGAGCACACGTGTTTAAAACAAGTCGAAAAATGACGAAAACTTTAGTACAATTTTTGTCAGTAGCGGCTTCTAAGGGAGCTACGCTCTGCTAAAGGGGTAACCTCGGAAACAGTTTTTAATGCGTAACAACCAAACCGCTCGACATTAAGTCACGAAATTTTGGTGAGATATTAACCTTGACGTGCTTAATATAAGTCTCATAAAATACATTTTAAAATTTGCTACAGGGGCGTGAAAAAATGCAGGACCCGGGACAAATTTAATCATATCTTTTTTGTACTCAATTTTTTCTAGTTCCTGACTGGAAAATATTGAAATTTGAAGTATTTAACATAAAAAAGGTCCTCTTGTTAAATTTCAGTAGGATGTGCCGTTTTCCAGTAAAATCGATTTCAATCATTCCCAACGTGCTCCAACTTTCATTACATAGCAAAATAAATTAATTGCAGTGTGCCATGGGGAAAAAACAGTTAACAGAAATGACAAGTATTTTTAGTTTCAAATTTGTGTCATTTGAGTATTCGCAGTGCCGTTTTATAATAAATAAAAATATCAAATAATTTAAAAATGCAACAGTAAACATTTTCTGAGTATGTAGATATGCTTTTGACGTTAGGTGAATGTCATGGAAGCGCAAGAGCAGCCGCACAACGATACGGTGAAAAGATCCCCAATTACAAAACATTTCTTTGCACAGAAAGGCGTTTGCGCGAACGGGGTACGTTAAAAAGGAACAATTTTGAGAGAGGCTGGCGCAGAATAATTAGAAATGTCCTGAATGAGGAAAATATTTTAAATTTAGTTGAAGCTAACGCCACACTTAGTACAAGACGACTATCAGTTCAAAATAACATGTCTCATATGACAGTATGGAGGATAATGAGAGAACAACAATTGTATCCCTATTATTATAGACAGGCCCAAGACATTTTACCACAGGATAGGCCCATGCGCAGACAGTTTGTCAGTTGGTTTTAGACAGGCAAGCCGAAGATCCGATATTTCTATCGAATATTATTTTTACCGATGAAGCTACCTTTACCAGAAGCGGTGTTTTTAATATGCGCAATGAACATATGTGGGCCGAAGAAAATCCTAATACTCACATCATGCCTGGAAATTTAACCGGAGCAATGTACCATCAATTTTTGTCTACTAGATTGTATGAATTTTTAGAGGATATTCCTTTGGTAAGACGAGGTTCGTTATGGTACATGCATGTTCAACCGTCAATATCGACAGTTGTTAAACGAGCACTTCCCAAATCGCTGGATTGGCCGAGGAAATGATGCTGCCATAAATTGGCCTCCACGGTCACCAGACCTCAACCCAATGGATTTTAACGTATGGGGTCAAATGAAACAAAAAGTGTATTTCCAAGCTGTTGACAATGAGGAACAGTTGCGTCAGCGTATAGAAAATGCATTTAATGAAATCAATGTGGAACACAAACTATACCGGAACCTATTTTCTTTGGAAAAACAGGTTACGTGCGTGCATTAGGGCAAACGGCGGACATTTTGAAAGTTGAATCTAGTCTGTCTTCTTGACTAGGGCACATTTTCTGCTAAAGAAATTAAGATATTTGGTTAATTTGTTAAACTAAACTAAATGGTTTAAATCTGTTAAAATGTTACGTAAAAGTTTCAGCCGCTTACAATAGTTTAATAAATAATCTTATATGTATCTATTTTTTAGCTTTTATTTATATCACCATATTTTTATTTGTTACTATTAAGAGTGTTAAAAATATTTGACATTTCTGTTAATTGTCAGACTAGTTGTTTTCCCCATGGCACACTGCAATTAATTAATTTTGCTTTGTAACGAAAGTTGAATTTGGAGCACGTTGGGAAAGATTGAAATCGATTTTACTGGAAAACGGCACATCCTACTGAAATTTAACAAGAGGACCTTTTTTATGTTAAAAACTTCAAATCTCAATATTTTTGAGTCAGGAACTAGAAAAAGTTGACTACATAAAAGATATGATTAAATTTGTCCCTGGGTCCTGCATTTTCTCACGCCCCTGTAGCAAATTTTGAAATGTATTTTATGAGACTTATTAAGCACGTCAAGGTTAATATCTCACCAAAATTTCGTGACTTAATATCGAGCCGTTTGGATGTTACGCATTAAAAACTGTTTCTGAGGTTACCCCTTTAGGAGAGCGTAGCTCCCTTAGGAGCCGCCACTGACAAAAATTGTACTAAGTTTTCGTCATTTTTCGACTTGTTTTACAAGCTCAGAAATTTTGAATACTTATTTCAGTTACACCTTGTATAACTCCACATGTAAATATTCTTATAACATTTACTTGCTTCGTCCTACTTATAAAA